ATATCTTTCCTAAGAGAGCGGAGCAAAAAAAGCCAAGAAAACAGTCTGAGGGCTCAGTGGCGAGAGGTTAGTCAGGGTTGAGGAGACAGTCTCCTTTAAAACAGCTGGGCCTGCTTATCTCCTGCTGTTGCAGAGGTAATATATGGAGCAAAGAAATCTATAAACGTGTGCGAATGAGCAGGTCTCTCGACAATCCTTCCTAAGGGACCTGCATTGGGTCGTGTATCTTGCCTGTGCACATGTAGATTTTTAGCCATAACTATAAACTAAGTAAAGCTATAACATTTTTGTTTTGTTTTGGACCAGATTCACTGTTTTTATTGCACCTGAAATGAAGATAAGCTGAATGTGCACTGTCTGCACTCCTGCAAAAGTGGTAACAGGATCCACTGAGAATACTGAAATGTGCATTTAAAAAAAGCACCCCAGGCAAATACAGTGTTTTTTCTCGTAAACAGATTGTTAGTCTTAAAAAAAAAGGTTGTTTTTTTGTAATGTCTACAAGAGCAAAATAATATGCATCGATAACAGCTTTGAATTTCTTTTTTTTTTTGCTTAAAGACCACTTAAAATGTTAATTTTATGAGTGAAAGCAATCACTGATAAATATCTGGCAGAAAAACTAAATATCCAACAATTACAAAAGTCTGCCAGAAACCGAAACATTAACTCAGAGCTACACTCTTGAAGGCGCAATCAACAGAAAATGGAGGCATGAAATTACAGGGATAATACTTAACAACCACTCTGGAGGCTGCGAATCTGTGCTGTTAGGGGACAATGGGAGGCAGATCCCTTGATATTAGGTCAGGATGGAAGTGTTGGAACAAAACATGTTTGGTTAACATATAGCTGCAAAGCATGCTGGGGATTAAGTAAAGGAAAGTAATCATTTACTTTGAGTTTAGTCATTGTGGGCCTTGGGCCGCCGACAAAAGGAACCTCTGGGGCCATCTCCCGGCCTTCTTCCTCTTCCACCGGTAGACTGGTTGGGTTTTCCTCTGCTGAGAGAATTGGGAGTCCAGACGTGGGAGCCTGGGGTATGGACAGAAGTAGCCCACAAGCCTTGGCTGCCCGAAGCACCCCCGGTACCTCCTGGACACGGCCGTACCAGCGCAGTAGGTGGGGGAGATGATGTAGAGTGGCGGCAGCGCGGGCTTGGAGGGAACACTATTAAAGACCAAGAACAGGATGAAAGGATGAAAGAGAAAGAGGAAAACAACAAGGAAATATTGATTAAGTGACTCGACTGACATGTTACTGCCAGTGGAGCGAGATGCCACGTTCCACCAGAATTCACACATCACACTGGTGAACACTTGTGCGACAGACTGGCAAAAAAAAAAAAATCAAAACAGAGCTGGCAGGAGGAGAGGGTGAAGAAACAAACAGAGTCATGATCTGAGACGAAGCATCAGGGCACAGAGTGTGTGTGTGTGTGTGTGTTTGGACACAGAGTGGTGCACGGAGGCAGAAGGGGCACTCCGCAGCACGACAAGAGGGTGGAGTGGAAAGGATTCACTGTGGCTGCATGTGTTGTGGACAGTGATGGCCGTTAAGAGGAGACACGCTAAGCTGAGTGTGAAACTGGAAACCACTGGGGCACAGCTGACTACTAAAAGCCTCATTGTGAGAACTTCAGTTCCTTCCCACAGTCGAGGAATAGCTGGAGACAGCTGAAAGGTGAAATGAGACCCACTCCACTGCCAGACAATGCAGCATTCCTGATCAATAACAGCATAAGCCTGAACTTTACAGCTCTCGGTTCACCGCTGCAGTTGCTACCAAATTCATCACAAACAATGAGGCGTAATGAATATTCAGTGAGCACTTGAGCTTCTAAATTCTTCAAAGATTTTCAAGTTAGGAGTTTGTTTTTTAGGTCAACATAACAACCTGCCAACTCTGTCAGCTGTTCCCAAAGTAAAGTCAGTAAAATGTATTTCAACCTGCTGCATTTGAATAAAAACCCTCCCCGTACAGTGTTATCAGCCTTTGCCAGGTGGCTCCAGACCACCTTTGAGAGCAAAAACTGTGCCAAGTCTGATGCAGCGACTCTTCTTAACCCAAGTTTCTGCCTGGCTGGATTTAAAAAAAGGAACTGGGTGTACTACCTGTTCACCCTGACCAGAGTGTCAAAACCACACATCATGCATAATTTGACAAGTCATCATAATAAAGGTATTAAAGAGCCAGCAAATTCATGTAACTGCACGCTCCGGTCTGCATGAAAGCATTCAGTCTGACATCAGCGCCACTTTTGTATGCACTGAGACAAAGCCTTTCCTATCTGCACTTGACTGTTTGTGTAACAGGTGTATTATTGAAAGAGCATTTGAAAAGAAAGTGTGTCAGTGAAATAAAAGCGACAGGCTTAAACTGACAAGAAAAGGGCTAATAAAATTTATTGTGCTTTGATGTGTATGTGCCATTCTTAATTAGACAGTAACAATCAGAATGAGGTTGTTGACACCACTCAAAAACTCATTACATGTCAAAAAGCCCTTACCAGATACTGATAGATGCACGGGAGCAGCACCACATCAGTCAGAGTGAAGTACAGTCCCTCAGCAAACACATGCTCCAACGGAGGCAAATCTGCTGTCTTCACTTTCCTAATCTCAGAGTTCTCTCTGGTGGTTAAAGCTGGTACTGAATCCACAGACAGTTTGGCCAAAGCTGCTCTAAGCTCAAGTCCATCACAGGCCTGAGACGACTGTCCAATCCCGGACTCGGAATCCAGGTTCTCTTGGCTTTCAGCAGACTCTTCGCGTCTCTGCTCCTGGAGTTTCCGCCTTCGTATTTTGTCATCGTTGTGGACTCTGACAGGCTCCGCGAGCCTTCGCTCAAGAGTGAGAATGGAGAGGGGCACCTGCTGATCATCATTTGCGGGATTCTGGAGATGTTCTTCAACAGCAGAGGGGATTTCAATTTCACACAATCTAGTCCACCGGCTCACCTAAGAGTGAGGAAAACATGGTGTTTGAGGTCTGTCCGTAAATGCACTCAAAATAAAAAGGCATTCCAAAAAAGGCTGAAATACAAGTCCTTATCATAGCACTGTGCACAACTAGTGCAGTTGTCAGATATTTATTTGTAATGTAAAACAAAAAACATAACTCTGCTACATATTTCCAAAACAAAAAAAGGGGAAAAAAAATTTTGGTGTCAGAATTTTTTTTCCAGTTTTTGACTTTTTGGCAGTTCCTTTTGTCGTTGTTCCCTTTTGGATTGAAGAGTGAAAGGATCACAAGTGGAATATGTGTATATGTAAAATACATCTAGTTTACCACAGAGTGCTTTAAATTTCATTAGCCAACTGGGAACCACCATTTGCTCAAATCTATTATCAATAACCTTCTGGGACCCTGATGGAGAACAATAGACGGTGAAAGTTGTGAGGTATAAGAGCTTTCCTAGATCTGAAACCATGCAAACTTTACAGCAAACTAAGAATTAGTTCATTATTTACTTATAATACTTTTTAAAAAGTTGTTAATTGCGTGATTTCTAATGGTGATCTCTAAGATTTTGCATTTATTTGGTTTACTTGATTTTGTAGATTTCTTTATTTTTTGTTACCCGTCACTTTTTGTAATGACTGAGTTTTGGGGTTTTGTTCGCATTAAGTTGGTTCTGTTTTCCTTTCATTCAAAGATTTAATGGTTCTTTTTGATTTCAGCAAATCATTACTTATGGAGAGAGCATTACACCGCTTCACAACAGCTTTAAGTTTGTTCCTGAAGTCACTAAATGGTAAATGGACTCAAATGCACTCAAAGCACTTTAAACAGCATGCCTCATTCAGTCATTCACACAAGATCTTTTTTCAATGCTTTCTCTACCAAAGTGCTTTCTATCTAACATTGACACACCTTCATATTCCAATTACTGCATCGGGAGAGTAACTTGGGGTTCAATTTCTTGCCTAAGGATACTTTGGCATGAACTTTAGTTTCAGCTAACTATAACTGGTTTGTAACTGTGTGCTTACTTTTAGACACCACCATGCTGTTGGAAATTGTTGGAAATTTGTGTAAATTTGTGTGTACAGTGTTTACACACTGGATGTTGACATGATGTTAATCCCAAAGATCACCTATAGCCTACTACAGACCGTCAGTTTAAGTGTAAAAACACTCAGTATTGCCTATGACCTTGCAGAGAGATCCCATAGTCACTTGTTTATTTTCTTTTGTGTATTTTTGTCGTTTGCTTCCCTTTTTTCCACTAACCTCAGCGCAGGCTTTCAGACAAGTCTTCTTGAAACCCAGCAGAGCCAGTACATCATTTCTGGAGGGGTCAGCCTCGATGGTTTTGTTGATAATATGTCTAAGGACCACTGCCAGTCCTGCCCTGCAGAGCTGCCCAGTCTCATCCAAAACAGCAGGGAGGCGACAGTCCCTCACCAGCTGAGGCAGAGCCTCTGACTGAACATCAGAGGAGTCCAGATGCTCTGGCAGCTGACTTCTCAGAGACTCGGAGCTGCTGGGTTTCTTGAAGACCAGGTAAACTTTAAAAAACTTGCACTCGCAGTAAGAAAGGAGGAACAGGACGATGGAGGTGTGCAGGGGAAGGCGCGGCTCCTCGTTTTGAAAGCAAACTTCTAAATAGAGAGAGGGCTGCTGCTGGTTTTCGGGCTGTTGCTTCATTGTAAATAAAGTCAGCACTGCGGGGTGAAACACATGTGAGGGTTTAAAAAGTAGCCTCGGTAAGGTGTTCCGAGGTGGGGTTTGTAAATGGAAAAACAGCTGTATCTAACACGTTAAATGTCACTATGAGTGATACTTACAGCAGCAGTAGCTTTTATAAAACCACGTTGTTGTTATGGTGTGGGCTGCTTCTTCTTCTTCCCCTGTGCTAAAGCTACCACAGCTTCACCTGTTTTCTACTTACGAATAAACAACACACGATGTGTCCCCGAAAAATACATGTAAAACTGTATAATATGTTAAGAGTGCCCGCTCCATAAATTGTTCTTTAAACAAAATTAACTATTAAACGAAGAAGCCATAATGTGAAATATTCTGGAGTAACACAAGTTGCTTCATAAGGTTCCGCGCTTATATCTTGCGGACATATTTGAGTGTTGCACATGTTAGAGGAAAAACGGCTTCTTTGTAGGAAGTGTTGTTCTGCCGTCAGTTTTCCCATGAAATCCAAAAGACCGGATTGAGGAGAGACAAGCTTACGAGAAGCGGAGTGTGAGGTAAGGTATTCCAGTTTAACGATTTTACTTGTAAATCCTAATTTCTACCTGACAGCTTCGAGTAACGAGAACTTTTACCGTTGTTGTGCTATTATGGCCCCTTGTGTTGCTGCTAGTCCGGACTGAATACGTTACGCAGCAGCCGAAGTTACTCTTTTTTTTAATTTGTGTGAACTTTTAAATATTACACCCAACAGACGGAATTGAGACATTTGGGACTCAATCTACAAACGTGAGAAGGAAGATAATAATAAATATTTGTTTTAACCCACAGAAAAAATAAAAACAGGACAGCACATGACGTATCACAAAACACATCCACATGTCAATTACCTTGGAAGTCGGTGCTAACAAAAATGATAAAAAAGCGCGAAAAAAAATATGATTTATTTTTGTTCTTAGCAAGGTAGAGCCGTTTAGCTATTACTAGCAGTACAGCATCGTATTTGTTTTTTAATCTTAAAATGACCGTCGCAGCACATTCATGGGTAGAATCTGACCAGTGCTCTCTGCATGGCTTATTTAGCGAATCATAAATACACAAAAGTGACAGTACAGATTATACATTTTGCAGTTTTACTGCTGTTTACGTTCACTGCCGCCATCTTGGATAGTTAACTCGGGGTTGATGGGTCTGTTCCGAGTGGGGAACCTGAGTTGAGGGGATGTTCCAGATTAACTGGAATCAACAGATTGACTGGGAACAAGGAAATTCAGATTTTCGACTTAATCTGGAACGCACCATTAATCCTAGTTTTAACGGAGATCTATCGTCTCCCCTTCAAGTGCCCTTCGTTTAGTAATAAAGATGTTTATTGTGATTGTGACAGAGCTTTTACTCATGGGAAACACTTTTCACTAAATATTTAAGTCTTACTAAAATATTGACTTATGCATAATTAATGTTAAGAGCACCAGAAATAGATGCATGATGTTTCAAGGAATCTAAACAACATGTTACTTAAAGTGTTGTGAAAAGGTATTTGCCCCCTTCCGGAATTATTCACATTTTTAGCACTTAAGTTTCTGTTCAAGAAACAAATTTTAACGATAACACAAGTAAATACATTCTGTATTTCTTCATTTATTAATGGGGAAAAAAAACTATCCAAACCTACCTGCGCCTCTGTGAAAAAGTAGTCGTCGTCCCCCCCCCCCCAACACAATAACTGGTTGTGCCACCCTTGGCAGCTAGACCTGCAATCAAGCATTTTTAATAACTGTCTTTGCAGAGTTGTTTCAATTCAGCCACATTCAAGGGTTTTTGTACATGATCAGCCTTTTTAACGTCAGTCAGATTTAATTCCGGACTTTGACTAGGCCACTCTCTCCCAAGGATGGCATTTTTGATCAGTCTCTATCTTATTGTTGAATCATTAACTCTGACCTTAACTGAGGCAAGTGAGACCTGCTGTTCTTTAAATGTTGTTTTGGGTTCTTTTGTGACCTGGATGATTTTGGTAGGTCGGTCACTCCTGGGAGTGGCTCTCGCAATGGTTCACTAGAGTCCCATAGCCTTAGAATTGGCTTTGTGACCCTTTCCAGACTGATAAATGTCTTTGACTTTGTTTCTCTGCTTTTCGTCACTTTCTTTAGATTGCAGTCTGGGGCTGATTGTTTTAGCCTGCTTCACTTTGTTAAACAGGTTTTATTTAAGGGATTTCTTGATTTAACGTGTCTGACAGTAATCTGGTGGCAACTGCTTTTTCACATGGGGCCAGGTCGATTTGGATAGCCTTTTTCCCTAATAAATGTGGGGAAAAAAACAACTATTTTTTTACTCTTACTATCCTTTGTTGTCCTTAGTTTAACTAAACTTGTTTAACTACACATGATTTACTCAGTAGAGTGATGTTATTTGTTCCCTGAAGCCTGAAAAACTGTATTTTCTGATCCTCAGTTTCCATCATGGCTGGACCTGTCAGTTTGGAGTTGGATCCCATTTTTCTAAAGGCACTGAGTTATTTACACTCCAAAAGTAAAGACTCAGCTGAGAAACTGAAAGCTCTCCTTGATGAATCCCTTGCAAGAGGAAGTGACTCATCATACCGTTCATTACAAAAAGTAAGAAACTGGAGATGTACATGTTTATACAGTGTCTTTATTCTATATCTCATTGTTGTTAAACCTTAATTTCCCTTTCTCAAACTAAAAGTTATTATTAATATTATTATTATTATCATTATTATTATTGTCATGTGTACTCAGGACATAGAGGTATCAAAGGGGACTGTGCCAAAACTGACTTTAAGTAAGCAAGACTCCAAGTCTTCAAGTTCTTCATCTTCAAGTAGCAGCAGTGGGAGTAGTAAACCTGAGAAGAGCAAGAAAGACAGTGAGAAGAGACCATCTGAGAAGGTACTGTGTGAATTTTGCGTCATCAACTTAGTGCAAAAATACTAGAAAATCTCAACAACCTGGTAGTCCAACGCAAAAGGTGTTGCGTTGGACCATACAATCCTTCTTGTAAGGTGAAGTAGTGAAAAAAGAAGGGAAAACATAGGTAGGTCAAGAACACTCTGTGATTTAAGCAGTCTTTTCTTCATATTTAACATTATTTAATTATTTTGCAGACACTTTTAATATTCTCTGATGATCGTAAACGTGCAGCTAAACGGCTAAAGAGCTTTTCAGGATGGAGAGGTCAATGAGTCGTGACAGGCCAAGTCAAATAGCTGCTCTCACTCCAGCTTAGCAGCATGCCAGATGCCTAACACAAATCTTTCTTTAGTCGGCTGTTTCCTGGTCCTGTTTGGCTCCTGTGAATAAGTATTTTTTTGGACCTTAAGCACATGTACTCTCAGGCCAGACAGGCTACCAGGTCTTTTTAAAATTATTTTTAGTTCAGTGCATGGCTGTTGCGGGTATATCAAAGGGAGTTTCTCTCCTTATACTGAGGGGAAAAAAGGAATGAATAGATATTTTAGTAAAACAATAAACCTTTTTTTATGGTGAAAAGTGGAGGAGTAATCAATCAATCAAGGTAGAGAACCAGCTCAGAGTAGGTCAGAGCTGCTTACATGTTAAATAAATTTGAGTTCAGAAATTTCCTGCAAATTTGAGAAGCGTACGTATGTACTATTACATAGAAGAGTACTAGTGTTACAGTGAAGTAGATGCAGTTTGAAAATGTTTGTTAGTGATGCCAACATGCCATGTCTAAAATGTGCTCTTTCTGTCTTACTGAAAAAAATAGATCAGGGTTGACTTGGGTGAGGTGGACCCCCCGAAAAAGCCTCGTTTGGAGAAACAGGAGAATCGCTCTTCTCCGATCACTGTGCAGACGAGCAAAGACCTGCTGCCAAACATAAATGATGATGAGACCAGTGCCGATGACTTCGCCATGGAAATGGGCCTGGCTTGTGTGGTTTGCAGGTACATGTTGAATATTTGTAGATGGTAAATTTTTGAGTTGCCGTCCCAAGTTTTTTTTTTTTTTTTTTTTTTTTTTTTTTTTTTATAAACCTTTTTTTATCATATGCCGAGTAAAGAAACATGTTTTTTCTGTCCCAAAGTGAGCCAATGAAATTCTTGCTTTTCCTGTCCACAACAGATACCAACCTAAAAAAATCCACATACAAAATAGAGAAATAGAATAAATGCTAATTATAACAACAGCATATCAGAAATCCAGTAGAATTATAGCATATGAAAAAAAAATTGTACTTGGAACTTTTTCCACTTTTAATTATTGAGATTCATTTTACTCCATCGTCAACAGGTAAACGTGTTAGCAAATTAATTATGTGTCCCTGCCATATGTCTTTACTTTCCTGCTGTTTTTATTCCTTAAGACAAATGACCGTGACCATGGGGAACCAGTTGGTCGAGTGCCAAGAATGCCATAACCTGTACCACCAGGACTGCCACAAGCCCCAGGTGACCGACAAAGAAGTCAATGACCCACGGCTTGTGTGGTACTGCGCCCGATGTACCAGACAAATGAAGCGTATGGTGAGGAAAATAAATTATCTTCCAGCGTTAGATTTGTATTTGGATTCAGCGAGCTTGGTTTGTTTTTAAGTAAAAGGTTGTTTGTTTGTTTGTTTGTTTGTTTTTGTCCACAAGGCCCAGAAACCTCCACAGAAGCCGTCCCCTGCGTCTGCATCTTCAGCACCTGTTGTAAAAGACACACTAGTGAAAAAGACGGAGCTTAAACCCAAAACTGACACAGCCAGCACCTTCCAAGCATTCAAAAGAACAGAAGTGAAGGTATGTGTTAACTCGTTATGGCGTCCATCGACGTGCATTGTTAATGTGAATGTTTATACACAGCCCTTGTGTCGTCTCACATTCTCCTTCTTCTCAGACAAGAAAAAGTTATGATTTCACATCCGTAAATTACTTGGGACTGCAAGGGAGAGAACAGCAGTTGCAGTCAGAGTGCAAAGCTGCTGTGAAAGGCAGTCTGCATAAATCCCCGCAGAGGAAAATGAGCAGAAAGTGTAAACTTATTTTCAAGGATCAGTGTTCCAGCACGGTGCCATTTCTCCAGAGGGAATGGGTTTAAAACTTTTCAGAGTGCTTTCACTTAATGGAGTTCACCAAAAAGTTATTTTGATAGCAAACATGATACCCTGTAGTCACAGATTTGATTATGTTAATACTTCTACCGTGAGGTGTAAGAGTTTTCATAGTTTGCAGCAAAAGTATTGCTCAGGCAAGCAGGACGCAGCGTGAGTAGCTGAGGAATCACATTTTTACTTGATATTTAAGAAACTGCAACTGCGCTGTATGTTGTTGTTGTTTTTTTTCCCTGCTTATAGGCTTTTATTTTTAATCAGATGCCGTAACAAAGCAGAGGCTGGTAATTTGATGCTTCTGCTTTGCAGTTCACAGACTGATGCAAAGAACCTTTTCTTGCATTTATAGGTCATTTTCATTTTTGTAATCATCTGTTCACCTCCAGCAAACTTCTTTAATATATGTACATTCACATTATAATTGAGTACAAGAAGGTTGAAAACCACATAAAGTGCCTGCAGAGATTATTGGTAATATATTTACTAACGCACCAGTGACAATGACAATTTTATTTATATAGTACATTTCATTATATTAAAACTCAGTGTGTTTAATACAGAAAAAGAAGACATAACACCATAAATCAGTGAAAAATGCTTAAGAGAACAAAAAATAATAATAACGCATATTAACTGTAGGCCCGTGTGCAGAGAAAGGTTTTGAGTCCGTTTTTGAATCTGCACACAGATGTAATTGAACTTGAGTCAGCAGGCTGCTTGTTCCCAAGATTAGGACCACAATAATTGAAAGCACCTCAAGCGTACTTGGATCAGATTTTGGGAACTGTTAAAAAATCACCCAGGAAGTTGATTCTGTTCATCTAGACGTAGCGTTTTCAGTAGGAGAAACGTTTCTGTCGCCCATCCAAGTGACTTCTTCAGTCTAAAGAAGTGACCTCTCTGTCACTCAACTCCCAGTGTTTTCGTTGAGTTGCAATCAGGGTTCATTGCTCTGCCAACTTGTCTGGTGGTCAGCTCTGCCGCCAGCAGTCAAATAGCACAAGCTCCAGTCATGTCATTGTTACCAAACTGTTGGTCCCTTTTTAAAGCCTTGGATGTCCTAGATAGATGAATGGTCTTTTGGAGTTAGTTAGATAAAGGTGACTTCTTCCCCAAAATTGTATTTTGAGGCACAGGACTATTCACAATAATCAGTCAGCTCTGACTGTTGGGAATCATAAACACAACCCTGCATGCATTTGGACAACTAGTTTTCTTAACAGAGAAGCTCTTCCTGAATTGGGCCAAAAGTGCATTGATGTGACAAGAATAGGAGTGACCCAAGCACATCATCGATTAGACAATGAAGCTTTCAAGTCCTGTACAAAAGTGTCAGTTAAAAATGTAGGGCGTCAGACTTAAAGGTACATTATGTAAATTCTCACCACTAGATGTCAGTGGATTGTATTCAGCTGAATACTGTTTTCCTAACCCTTCTAATTCAAGTGCACATTCTTAGCTATGGTGGCCACTGAAGGACAAATGTTTTTTTTGAAAACTAAAGCTCCAAACTAGGTTCTTCAGGCCCAAGTGGGAGCAACAGGGACTTGTTCTCAAATAATAAAACATAAATGATAATAAAACAAAGGGACGATCCTTCATATCTTGAGAGATATGAAAGAGATGAAAAGAAAATCCAAGTAGTTAGTTAGTAGTTTGTTATTAGTCAGTATTACACTCTAATAATGACAGTAACCTTTTCCCATGCAGCCACCAGCCACTTCAGCCAATCCCACCAGCAGCAGCTCCTCCTCCTCGGGCAGCGGTCTTACCGGCTGGGCTGCATTTGGCGCCAAAACGAGCCCATCTCTTCCTGCTAGCTCCAAACTAGGTTCCTCAGGCCCAAGTGGGAGCAGCAAGACCTTGACAACTCCTTCTGGACAAAAGCCTGTTGGGTTATCTGGGCTAGCTGGAGGAAAGTCGGGGCTTGGGAGTGCAAAGATATCTGGGAACGGCAATGGAAACGGCTCCAGTCAGGCAAACCTGAAACCGCCTCCACCTCTGACTCTGGGTAAGCAGCCGTTGAATAGGTCATCGAGCGGTGAAGGCCAAAGCAAAGCCAGCTCTTCATCAGGAGCCGGCTCTCCTAACAGCTCCCAGACTGGAGGCAATGGAGGCAGTAACGGAGGAGTTAATGGAAACAATGGGAATGGGTCAAAGGCCGCACCTGGGGACAAACTACCTACAACCCAAGAGTCCCAGCTTAACGCCATGAAGCGGTTACAAATGGTGAAGAAGAAAGCAGCGCAGAAGAAACTGAAGAAGTGAGTGAGGACTGAGTGAAAGGAGGAAGAGTTGTGAGGAAAGGGGAAAATAAATGTTCAAAGAGGGCCGATTGAGTGCCAGAGCATTACCTTTCTATTTCAAGAGCAGTTGTACATCAAGTAACACCATTGAGTTAAATACTTGAATTTCACTTTGTGTAAATGCTGCTAGACTCGTGTGCCTCGTCCTGTCCTTACAAATCTAACCAGTGAAAAAAGTGTCATGTCACTTTTTATCAATTAGTGTCATTAAATATCCCGTTCTTACATACTCGCAGTAGCTTTGACTTTATTGTGACTGCGTTTTCTCAATTCAGTCATTCAGTTTTATTGGGAGAAACAGAGACTGGAGAATAAACCAGAACAGCAATAACCACAGAGGCCGTTTTTATTCATAACGTTATCAACGACTTTGAACGTATTTCTTCATTTCAGGGCAAACGGTGAATAAAACTTCATATAAATCATTTCACATAAAACATATACTCTATCTATAAATCACTTCATATATTTTTATATATAAAAATTTACTTCGTTAATAAATCACTTCATTATTCATATGAACTCGACAACACTGAAGTATAAAAAGTGCTCAGCACAGTGCCCTGTGCTTTTATAATTATCCACATTCATCACAGATCACTGGTCAAGCTCCATTAGTGAGCTCTCTTGTTATCTTCTGAAGGCCAAGCAGGTTCAACATCAACACTATGGTATGATAATAACATCTGTTGGGATGCTCGCCAAGCAGAAATGTAGCTTGGTTCAATTACATTTTGTTAAAACGGTAAACTGATGCTCAGAATTGGGTTTTTTAGGCGTAGGACATCCTGCCGAGGTAGTTGGCCGGGACGTATCCTTTTTGTCCGTTAGCCTCAGCCAACCACCACTCCTTGTTACCTCCCAGGTCACAGAATTGAAGGATGCGAACGTGCTGGTGCTCCTGCAGGGTCAGTTCCTGTTCGCATCGGGCTTGAAATGCATACACGGCGTAATACTGTGGAAACAGACCCAGTTTAGGTGTGAGCAAAGGCAGACGCAATTATTGCTTTTAAAATGTGTTAAAAGCAAAAAGTTAAGATTCACTCCAAAAACCTAAAACAAAAGGCATCATGAAGGAATTTGTATGCACTCCTGTTAATCCAAAAGGTGGCAGTGTTAAGCTTCCTGGCAAAACACAGCAGTAACACCAATACTGATTCTCACTCGCTGCGATCCATTAACCTATGTCAGTTTTTATTTATAATATTTTATGTATTTCAAGACCTTTAACTCGATGAGGATCAGAGATGTATTTCAGTCAAAGGCCCCAAGGACGAACCCTACGAGTGCTGCTGAGTGACAGCAATCTCACCATGTAATGCTATTAAAAACAATTAAATTTAATGTCAGCAGACAGGGTGAAGCCATTAAACGTGGTTTTAGAGTGACTCATCTTCTGCTGATTGAGTCTATATACCGGCGGTCCTCGTTTACCTACGCGCTGCAATAACCCATAATTCACAGCTGTGGCTCGGGTAAACCATTAAAGTTATTATGGGCTGAGCCTTTGTGGGGGTTTTTTTTTTATTTATTTATTTTTTAATCAGTGTTTTAAGGTCTATGTGATGTGTGTGTGTGTTTTGTTGTTGTTGTTTCATTTCTGACCTTGAATTTCAGTCTCTTTTTTTTTTTCTCTAACCTCAGTGTATACAGCTACTCTGACCTTAACTGTTAGGTTATCCTCTATGGAGCTAAGTAGTGCGATATGTTAATATGACACTGTGAGAGCAGTACTGATCAGCTGGCAGACCACCACACACACCTGCTGAGCCTCTGAGTCCACTGTGTCCTCCGTGTCCTCAGTGCTCTCCAGCTCCCCCTGCAGGCCCGAGAGAATTGAGCAACTGTCAGTGGTGCTGAGCTTGAAGCTGCGCAGGCTGCTGCTGCCGCTTCCTGACACGAACAGACTCAGGTCATCAAAGTCCTCATCCACCGTGGCAGGTGGCTGCTGCTGGGGCTGCTCTTTGGCCATCTGGCCTGCCCGCTGCGAGTCCCTCAGAGGGTTGTACTGCTTCAGGAAGGTGGAGTAGACATAGCCTTGCATACCTGACAAGGGACACAGAGATAGTTTGTCAGGCGTCCTGACCTTTGAGTACATTTTAAAGGGTTTATTCACTAAAATTAAGCTTCTTTTTTTTTTTTTAATTAAGCTTTAAAAAAAAAAAAAAAAAAGCTTAATCTCTCTTTATATGTAGCCCTGCAGATTATTATGGATGTCATTCATTCATATTTTTTTAAATGGCACAAGAAAATAATCCATTCAAATCACAATGGGATGAAAGCAGCAATCTTAGAGCTGTATGACAGTGAGTGCCTGTCTAATGTTAAGGGGCTTCATCCAGAGGCCACAGAGCACTTGCTTACACAAGTCTCGAATCCAGTTCCAGTGAGTTACTGAAGAGTGTGTAAATATGAGGCCCGCATATTCATAGTGTTGATATCAACAGAAGGAAGAACAACAACTTCCTGGGAATGCTTGTTATCCCAGAGGAAAAGACAAGCCTGTGAAGAATGTACTTTACGCCAAGAAACATACACACTATTTTTTTCTAGTGTTCTTAAAAAAAAAACTTGTTATTTCAGAGTACAAAGATGAGCACCAGTGATATCTCTTCATCCTTGTCTGTGAATCCCCGGGGGAAAAGTCTTTGTACTCTAAGTAACACTGCATACAACTGCGTACAGCAGTTTGTTCCAAGCAAGATGCTGGGATCTCAGGTGCCTCTATGAGACGCAAAGCAGAGATAGAGACAAGCTATGGAGCCGGCATTGTTGTGAGGCAACAATCTCCAGAGGCAACCAGCAACCATGACATCACAGGAGCTCCTGGGACAACTTCTCATCTGCTGACTTATCAAGGCCAGAAAGTAAAGTTTGGTGTGAGTGTTTTCACAAAGAAAAATGCATTAGATAAAACCTGTGGCACCCATACTTGCAGATGATCCAGTGTGATAACTTAATCCACGGTGTGTGTCTTACTAACAGTACTACACGCGCGCACACACTTGCCTCCAGTGTGTACCAGCCAGCGGCTGCTGCTGCCCATCGGATCTGTGTCCTCAATCAGAGCTACCAGCTCTCCCTCCAGCAGGCTCAGGTCCTGCTCCTGGCAGCCATTGCACTTCCTCTTCAGCTGGTACAGTCGGTTCACTGGGTATTCTGCCAGCAGCCAGGCACGCTGTTCCTCGGTCTGATGCTGCACCTCCGGCACCTGAAGGACAGCACAACACAAAGAAGTGTTGCCGTAAATATTTGAAGCGGGTATGTGGTGTGCAGGTTTACGTAGGAGTGTTAGGTAACAGTACACAAGGGTAATCTAGGGAGGGTGAATGGTAATATGATCCTGGAGCTCGGACTTTCAAACACATCTATTCACGTGCTCAAGAAAAAGAGCCTTCTAATATAGGTGCAGATGTTTTAGTGTATATGCGTATGCAGACCAATGAGCATGCCAATATACAGTACTGTGCAAAAGTCTTGAGCCTCCACAGTGACCTCCTCTGTACGTATTGACGCTTTGAACCAAAAATGTAAAATTTGGATACTTCCCCCAATAAGACTAATTGTTACTGATTTTCAGCCCAATTCTTATGTAATTCAGCATACCTCAGCCTTTTTCCCTGTTTCCCTTCTGTAAGAATGGCTTCCTGGCATCCATTTCTTAAGGACATGACCTTCACTGACTTAGTTTTTTAGTCCTGTCACTTCTTCTATTGTATTCTATTTGTTTAATTTTCCTCAAGTTTTTGGGGATACAGTGCACACCATCCCAAGATATGCCAAGTTTTGGGCTAATAGTTTTTGGAAATCACCTTGTTGGTGCAAAGATACCATTTTATGCCTGTAAAACTGTGATACATTTGACAATTTCATAGAGTTAGCTCAAGAAATGGGAACTAATGATGTGTTTTTGTGAAAGGCTTCTAATAAAAAAGTGCCAAAACATAACATTTAAATCTGGTAAAAGACAAAACGCTGGTGCATCCTTTTACTAGTTTTGTTTTTTATGCTTGAATGACACAAAGTTCAGTCTTTGCTGAGTAAACATGCAAAGAATAAAAGATCAGGTACAAGAGCTACACTGAAATTGAAATAGCAAGGAAAAGGGAAAAAGCAGCCAATATGCAAAGAAAAACTTTGAAAGACCGTAAGAAGCCTGGAGAACTTTTGCTCAAGAGCACTTTAAAAAGAAGAAAGTCTGGTCCACTGAAGCAAATTATAGAGAAATAATGGTTGGCTCAACACTTTTGCACAATCCTGCAAATGAGACTGATGCCTGTCTCCTGAATCAAGTACTTAACTTTATCATAGCCTGGGATCTGTGATGCGTACAACTGAGCATTTATGCCTTGCGACTGATTTTGTCAGAGTTTGGAAAAACAACGGTCTTTTTGAATTTTCTCAAAACTGAAGACTATGTGGCACATTTGTTTTAACCTGTGATCAGTGACGAATGGAAAAATCCTCAGACCAGAGGTTTTAAAATCACACACTTGAGGCTTTACGTAAAGGTGAGATTAGTCTGTTCAGCTTTCTTACCGCAGTTTTCCTGTCTCGTTTTTCAAAGCTGACTTTTCGCTCCATTAACTTCTGTGCATTGTCCTTGACAAAAGTCAGATTATTCAGCTCATCCATGATGCTGTTCTGGACCTCAGCAATGTTTGACAGCGGAGGCTGAAAAGGCAAACATAACACAAGTTAGCTTTATTGGTTTTTTTTCTTAATTAAAAAAAAACCTTTAAAGTCTTCCAAATGGGATATTTGTAGATGTATCCTTACTGGTAGCTGGTGCACTGATGGAGCACCCATCAGTGCATTATTCATCAGCCCTCTAAGTAGCGCCACTAGAAACACCACACTGTTAGTCAGGATAGTGTATGCAGCTGTGTTGAACCTCTGCAGTTCTTCCACTAGCAAAGCATTGAGAGCTTCGTAGTCCCTCTTGGCTGGACCTGGTGGGTCTTCTGATGCCGGTGAAAGAGAGGAAGAAGTGGTGGAAGAAGAGGATGAAAAAGAGGAAGAGCGCTCCAGGCGACTGCAGTAATCTAGCAATTTGTCATAGCGTTTTTGGATGAGCTTCTGAGGGGCTGTGAACATGCCGTGCAGAGAGGAGAGGGGGGTGAGCACCAAGTGCTCCAAATTGTCTCTCTGGAAGGAAAAAACATGGCAAAAGGAAAGAAATGAAGATTAGTTTGTGTAGCTCATAGCATACTTATTTAATTTGTACAT